GCCTTCAAAATTATTTAAATTTGATTTAAAAAACAAAACAAAACAAAAACTATTGTGCGGCTCTTGTAAACTAACAATACAAGCAAAATTCCAGAAGGATTTGAGGTAGAAATTTTCACAATGTTAATGTCACTGAGATTTGATCCTATATATAAATGTAAACACAGATTGGCATGACATTTTCCCAATCCCTACAATGTCAACCTCTTCAAGTCTAGGGTTAATTGTTATTTTTCCTGAATAGTCCCCTAAACATGCCATTGTTGCCCTTTCTTTTAGTCATACAACACCACACTGTAACACCTCTATCTTGAGTGGCTCTTGTATTGGATTGTTATAGTAATTTACCCAAACATGCATGGACTCTACCCGCTATAAATAGGAGCAGGTACTGCCTTTTTGGAGCGGGACATTTCCAGCAGTCAGACTGAACATTCTTGCAGTAACACTCTTGTCTGTATATGTTTGTATTACTGTTTCTGTTAATATATTTGTTTAACTCATTTCCTCTCTCTGTGTCTTTATTTTTGGCCCTAACAAGGCCACAACATGGATGAATAGTAGCCTAAAAATATCTTGGAGACTTGCGCATCCTTGCTATTACTTGATCTCATGTAGACAATTCCTGTAGATACAAAAGAAATATCTTCATATCATAAAGCTTCCATAGCTTTGACTGAAATACTTGTTTGCAGAGATTTAATTCATATTTTATTCAAGTCATTTCCAGTCATACATGTAAAATGGTTCATAGCCCTAATTTATTTAAGAAAATCTCTAGCTTTTTCAATGCTTAATACAAATAATTTGTATGATACTATGACTTAAACATTCACATATAAGAGAAAGGTATGATTTTATCCCAATAATAAGTATTTATAACCAGTGGATGTGGCCTTTAACGTTGTTTTCTAAGATTGAAGAGGTAAAAACCAACAAATAAGTAAAACTAAGCATTTAGGGTCAAGTGACACAAGGTAGGATATTGATGATCTCAGTTACTGGTCTATATTAACATTCAGTTGGGATTGAAGAGGTGAGTCCTAGTCTGCACTTAGTAGGGGAACAGATTATCCCTTGGTTAGTTCTGAGGCTGCCCATTCATGTTCCATGAAGATAGACGGTAGAGTTGGTAGAAAGAAAAAGCTAACAAGGAAAAATTTGTCCAAAGTATCCTCTACCAATCACCCAGACCATGCAAGTGAAATGCTGATTAAAATGCCAAAAGAAATGGGGTCTGAGTTTTCATTTCTTGCAGTGACATTTGTTTTCATATTTTATTTCCTTGTGAACATGCAGCAGCTCTTTCGCAGTCTTTGTGCACCCTGAGGTGAATGAGAAGTGAATAGATATGGAGATTGATTTCCCTGGTTGGGGAAAGACAGGGGAGAGTCATTGTATGTTTACATATGCAGTGTTATAATAAGTGAGAAATATTAAGCATGTGGACATGTTCACCAAATAGGAGTCATATCCAGACAATAATTGATTTTTACACGTATAAATGAAAAGAAAGTACAAATCACATACAACAAATTATCAAAATGTGTAAAGAAATAAGTAATAAAATAAAAAATAGCAAGTAACCTACCTAATGAAATAAAGGGTTCAGTTCAATATTCCAACCACCTGAAGAAGGCTGGAGCATACAATAGCCGAAATGTTGTAATAAATATGGTGACAAAGATGAGGACAATAGTCCAAATAATGTAAATAGTGTACCTAATACCTCATCTCAGAAATATAGACAGATACAAAATAAAAAAAAGTAACGCTGCCCAGAAAGTAAAAGTAAACATTGCGGTAAACTTTGACAAAAATACAAAAACTTTAATCTATGTACTTCCATGATTTTACCAAATTTTGGATTTGTCCTCTTCATCTTTATTATAGGATTTTACGACAGGCAAAATACTCTATCAATAAAAGCAATTATATGAAATTAGAATCAAGTCGTTTCTAACAAGAGTTAAACCTGCACTCCATAACTCCTCTAAATATGGTCAACGTATTAGTTAATTTGTTCATAGAGGGCTCACGATAGAACAGAGCTCAAATCTTGTTATATTACCACTTCTGAATCTTATTTATTTATTTACATTTTATATTAATACTATCATATTGCTTATTTACAAAGATCCAAAAATTTGCGAAAAAAGAGCATACCATGAAAAAAAAAAAAAAAAGCCCCCAAACTTGATAAAAAACAAAGTCTTATCATAAAAATATTTGTTATTATTAAGAGAAAAAAAAGTACTTTTTTATTATTTTAGTAAATTTTGAATCCTTTCTAGCAACTCTGAGATTATGGTTAAAAATATTTTTTTTTTTTTTTTTTTTTTGTGCGTCAGCAGGTGAGCCAAAGATTAGTATGGGAAATTTAGCATTTTTTTTTTTTTTTTTTACAGTAAAAAAACATCATTTTTAAAATTATTGCAAAAATCTAATAATTATAAGATTTTAAATAAAATTTCAGGACTTATTCACAAATGAATGAAATTATTTTAGGGAATATTTTTCTTTTTAGGAAATTTTAGTAAAAATATGTTTTTACATCTTTTACCTCCACTTAATTTATGAAATTTTGAGAAATTCAAATTCTACCGTATTTATATTCATATTAGTTAAAAGCAGGATGCTTTGGAGAATTTAAATCATCAATTTATTTTTGTTAAACAGAAACAAAGAATCTGCTGTGAATCGTAAAATAAAGAAGGCAATAAAACTATGACATTATTTAATTAGAAAAACTTTTAATTGCTTTTATAAATAAGATTTATTAACGACACTACTGTCTTAAGAAAATTTTTTTTCAATGAATAATGAAATTTTACTAGAATTGTTTTCACTTTTTTAAAATTTTAATTAGAAAAATTTATGAAGTTTTAAAACTTTTAAACTTTTGTATTAATTTCACCCTAAGTAAAAACTATATTTACTAATCATAAATGGAAAAGCTTAATACAAATCATCAAATACCAATATTTTTAAAAGAATATTTTTGTATGTGTAGACTTGTGGATTTTTGTAGATACGGCGACCCATATACAACATTATCAGAAAATAAAAGTGATGACTATAGTAAATTTAAAGCCAAAGAGTATCTCAAATTCGATAGAACATTAGATTACTGAGTACTTAAAAATTATATATAAAAGGTGTCCATGTTATATTATTTTTATGACTAAAGTCACCATAGAACATTAGATAAACATCATTATGTCATCAAGCTGTCAAACATGTGAGCAGCTTAAATAAACAGCTGCTGCTGTGTTAAAAAAATTTATTTTGTGGCATTATAAACTTAAAGTAAATAATATTTGTTTCAAATGAGGTTAATTATTCTTTAAATTAGCTAATATTTCAAAAATAAAGTTTCAGAAAAGTATATGTTATTTTTGGAAGATTTTTTTTATTAAAGAGAATTACATTGCAATTAAATTAGTTTTTAAATCCAACAAAGTATTTTGCTTATTGGAAATATTAAATTTAATCTATTAGCTCGAAATTAAAGCTAAAATAAAAACTTCAAGAATGATTTTTTTTTATTTTTTTCTTTAATTCATTTTAAACATAAGGTATTGCATTTTCTGTGGTGGTACCTTTGCTTATTTAAGCAAGAGCTATTTAGCACCACAAAAGAATTCTGAAAAAAACATGGACAGAGCATGGGAACAACAAGGAAGTTTCAATTAAGAGAGAAATAAAAAGAACACATATTTAAAATCAGAAAGGGAGTGTTGAAATCTTTGCAACACATTATAAGTAAAGAGGCCTTGCAAAAGTTGACCCTCAAAAGGTCATACTGAAGATGGACAGAGGAAAATAGCAAGTAACCTACCTAATGAACTTGTGTAAATGAATGTCAAAACGGAATAAAGTTACAAAGGATAGGAAGTTGTGGAGAGATATTATCATTTATGTTCTGAAGGGATGCAGCACAAAAGTAATAGTAGCAGAAGCAGCATTAAGTAATTTGAATTAACATACAGCTATTAGAATAGCAAACAAAAAAAATATAAGATTGATTCAGAATGCAAAATGACAATTTGACTATAAATTCAAGTCTTGTTAAATTATGAGGCTTCCAGGGTCAAATTGTCATGGAGATTGTCCATTTCTAAAGGAGATCCAGAGATCTATTAGGGGTTCTAGTCTCATCTTGGGCAGATTTATTTTGTTTTTTTTCAACATCCACAGAGCCCACCTATTGTTTATACTAACTATGCTGAGTGGATATTAGTCACAGTTTCTGGGAGAAAAGTGCATAATTTAGCCTGATCAGTAGCTTGAACAAGGTTAGTACACTCAAATTTATCAGTCACAATGACTTCTGACTTCATGTTAGCACAACCATTGATGGCTTCTACACAATTGTCTCCCCAATTTCATTCAAACGGCTTCAAGTCAACCTGTGGTTTGGCTTTCAAGTGTGTCCTAACAGTGCAATATGCTGGGATCATCTACCCAGGCTGATGTTATTAAGAAATCACCTCATTGACAAGGGTGAGATTTGAATCTGGGTCTCATACTAATATTCCAACAACTTGGTCATGGAACTTTTTTCACATAAAGCAATCAACTTGTATAACAATGTTTGGGTACCCTAATTGGCCAATCAGTATAACTACCATCTGAAGTTGCTGCCAGTGCCACCTACCTAAATAAACTCCATTCAATTATTAACTCAATCAGCAGTCATAAACAAATATTATATATATATATATATATATATATATATTATAAATTAATTGATTTAAAATATGGTTATTTTCGCTACACAGTTCCAACCATGTTTCAAAAATAGAAGCTAAAAACCCCTAATTTTATTTTTGCAAATAAATTAAAAGCATTAGTTCCATTTCATCTTCAAGCGAATTTTGGAGTAACTTTTAAAATTTACCGGGTTTTAAATACACAGCTAAAATATATATATATATATATAAAGATAAATAAAACTAATCAAAAAGTAATATTTCTTTTCAGAATTTAATACTTACTTTGTTTCTCTGTGAGAGTGTGCCATCCTTTGCTGGTATCAAAACCAGGAGAAATCTGTTTATTACCATTCCGTCTTGGGATAGAATTTGACAGGTCCGAAGGCATCAGTGTACTTAAGATGTCCGAGTTATCAACTAGAGCTTTCCGAGCAGAAACTAAATCAATCTTATCCTAGAAACAAAGACATAAGAATAATAAAACAAATTATCAACAGTTTTGTGTTTTGAACAAAAAAAAGTCATGAAGTGAGTGAAGTTGTCTCAAGAAGAGGATGCTATATTTATTCTAAGTTACATTCTCAATACAACAGTTGTTTAGGAATATGGAACTATTGGAAAGCAAGAACTCACTCCAAGAGTTCTTTGATCTATGTCATCCATGCTTTGTTCCTTTTGTTGTTGCCATAACGTTTTGACCAAAGTATTCAATATTCTTCAGATGTATAATACAAAAAAGAAAAAGATTTTTTTTTCAATTCATCCTAATTCTTATCATATTCCATTAGTGAGAAGAAAGTTTCACTTAACTTCTTCCCCACAACTTTTACTTTGCAGAACAGATTCTGAAAAGATACTTCCTTGATGACTACAATCTTAACCACATCCAAATCTAGAGTTAACTGTTATCTACTTTCAACAACTTCATTATTCGGTAACCCTCTACCTTGAGTTGCTTTTGGTCCTTGTCTTGGGAGAATAACAGTATTGAAAAAAATCATGGCAAATAGAAAAGAAATGCTGACTTACATACCAGATAACTTTGCTCATTTCCAGCAACAGGAGCCACACAATTGGAACCATTCACAGTAACTTGCATAACAGAGGTGTTTCTGTATTTATATACAGGTATGGGCAAGAAGCCAGAAATAAGATGTATCAAAAGGAAGTTTGTTTTTTTTGTTTTTTGCAAATTTTCAAGGACAAAAAATGTATAAATTCATTTTTATGTGTTTAATTTTATTCCATTTCTAATCATCGGTTTTTAAAACAGTAAACATTGCTGAAGAGTGAAGATAGTTACAAGAAGCGGTGCCATGGGAGAAACACTCCTTTTCACACTTTGTCTTATTGTGGGCATGTTTATCTATATTTGCCCAGGTACATTTCCTGACTCTTTGTTCTTCTTTTCTGTTCATCATGAACTTCTAAGGAAGAAACACTTCCTTATGGATTTTATATCTAAAGCTGATACATTAGTCTATATACCACCATTTTCCATGTTTGTTCTAATAGATAAAAAAGGTGCCTTTTTGTCTTTCTACATGAATTGTATAACTGAGAAAGGCTATAGAATGTAACAGCCAAAATGTAATGGTAGCATCAAAAGCAATAACCCACAAACAATGGTTGAAATGATCATGTTCTCCTTCCTTATAAATTAGAAGGCTGAAGAACAGAGTGGCTAAAGATTGCTAAAAAAAACAAGAAGAATGAAATAAAAAGTTTAAATGACTCTTAGAATAATAACCAAAATTATAACAGAAATTTTCTATTATTTATATCATTGCATCAATTTTTAAGGGTAATCAATTCCAAAAAAAAAAAAAAGAAAAAAAAGTGGAGGATTTGTGTGTTGGTACACAATGTGGATAACACAATGTTCTAGGTTTTCTTCAACAATACTTATAAGTCTCTTAAGTTGGGCAGACATCAGATGGCAGAGGATTTTATGACTAGTTTTATTTTACAGTCAAATGTTAAAAAAAAAAAAAATGGAATCAAAATCATCATTTATGTAAAGGTGGCTGTCATACAAAATTATCTATCGAACTGCAGTGCTTACAACATACAAATTTACATACAGAGAAAGCATACTTACATGGAAATTATGCTTACATTCATTGTATATGCAAATTCCGTGTGTGGGTGCTTAATGTGCAAAATGAACAGACAATAAAACTCATTTTTATTTGTGCATACTCAAATGCTTCATCCCCACGCCAACAGACGGATCTATCAGTAATTTATTTGCTCATAAGTTATTGCTGTTTTTAAATGTCTACCACAAAGTTAATGACATATGGGAATATTTTATCTGAGGAGGAAATTCTGTTGCAACAACTTTTCACCGATTAAAAGAAAATTCCTATTAGTAGCATGACAAGTAACAAGCTAGTCACCACTCCCAAGCAAAGAGACTGTTTAGATAGTGACAATGTTTTTCAAAACATATATACACTATACATTCAAAAACTTGTAAAATAAAATCAATGATAATATATATATATATATATATATATATATATATATATATATATATATATATATATATATCCTAATAGCCTAAAGATAGTACTTAAGCATGAAACAGACTATCTCTAGTCAATATTGAATGCACTGCTCACTTTTATATTTACATATGCTCTATCACTGATATTGAGCACTTTTAGCTATAAATATAGCATTCCTTAAAACTATCATATGTATTTTAATTTTTCTTTTATATTTCTGACCATATTTTCTTGGTGTTTGGTAGATATTTAAATATAAATTCTTCCATGCCTGAGTACTTTCAGCTCTCATAAGGCATTATCAAAGAATTTTCGTTTTTGTGCTATGTTAGATTCACCATTTCTAATTACACCTTGTCGCATCTTCACATGTTTCATGTCATCATCATTTTTTTTTTTTTTTTAACTTTCATTATTATGTTTATTTTTTATGTTTTTAGGACAACAAACTTTCTCCTTCCATCTGATAATGTATCAACTTAAACAAAAAGGGAAGAAAGAAGTAAAAATGGGTTGACAATGTCAGTGAATGGACTGGGAGAACCTTCACAGACATTGAGACATTGGAACACATTTGAGGTATATAGGCTGATCAGATGGTCAGTGACCTTTTAACCACACTATGTCATGAGACTGATGATAACTCTGTAGAAAGGTCAATTTCTAGTTTAAATCTGCCAATCAGAAGTCCCAATTCTAGAGTGAAACTCTAAAATCCCCACTGGGGAGTGGTATTCATTTGTGTTACCCCCCCCCAAAAAAAAACAGTATTTTATTAAATACCATAAAGTATTTATTTTATTTTATTTTTATTTCATGATAATTTTAAACAGAATGAGATTTCTCATTGCTTTATCAAAAGCAAACTGCATTTTGTATGAGCAATGGCAAAAATTGAACCATTCCAAATTTTGAACTATATATTTTATATTTACATATGCTCTATCACTGATATTGAGCACTTTTAGCTATAAATATAGCATTCCTTAAAACTATCATATGTAAAAAAATGACTGATTTTTGTTATGGCTAACAATGGTTGCAACAGCTACTGTTACTAACATCTGGAGAGTAAGATAGTTATGGAAGAGTAGTTTACTCAAGTGGATCACTCCACTACCGTCTTCTTTAGAAACCACTATGGAATACCAAGGTTGTGACTTTTTAGTCAAGATATTTCTCAGGAAAACAGAGTACAGGAAAACGTGGATTCATGTCTTTCCTAAAGGGTAGTAATAACAAGTGAATACAGTCACAGCCAAAATTGAAACACTGATGTCATATTCTCTCATATTGGATACGAAAATTTCAATATGAGATTAGTACTTAACATAAATGAAAATACTTTTTTCTTTTATATTAATGAATAAATACATTGTTTTAATATTTTATGGATTTGATCTAAAGACTGGATGTAATTTGTGAGGTGGACTTAATTTTTAAGAAAAAAAACAGAAGCAGCACATTCTTAGTGGACGGTTTTGGGATACAGCAGCATGGGTGTCACAACAGATAAGGGAATATTCCATGTCTTACTTACATGTCCTTGAAGTTGAATTGAAAACAGCAAGAAAAGTTTCTACATGAACAAGAAAAAAATTCTTCTGTTGTGTAAAACAGTTTAATCACAGGTTTCTCACTGATAATTATTTCAAATTAAATTTTTTATTAGAATAAAGAAAAAGCATGAGAAAAATCACTAAAGAGATTATAAAATATAAACACACAAAATATTTTAATTGCCTTCATATATTTCAATATTTAGAAAATGAGAGCCTTTAGCCACAGGGTAAATCAATAAGTTTTATAGCCTCCTGATCAAAAGAAAAAAAAAAGGCATTTTGAAACTCATCTCTTTTTCTGTTAATGCACTTAATATCTGTGATAAATATTAATCACATAGATCAGACAGACACAAATACAGGGCCTACTCACTCCTGGTAGAGGAACCCTGCCTTGATTGACTATATCCTTAGTGGTGTAGTCGTATTTACCACACTTGGCCAATTGTGGGTTGGTTAGGCTATTTAATTCATAGTTGGGGGTGAATGGCTGTTGAATTTAAGAAGTTCATCCACTTTTTAATAGCTCTTTTTTTTTTATACAGACATGATGCCATAATAATTTAAGATTAAAATTCATGGCTCATGATCAAACATAATAGATATTCGTTATTTGTTTTATTTAGCAATATATGCTTGAATAATGATCTACTGCCTCAATACACTATATATATATATATATATATATATATATATATATATATATGAAAATTTCTCTGATTTAACCAGTAGAGAAGACAATATTTATGAATAAAAATGACAATAGGAAAACTGGTAATTACTGACACGTTTCGTCCAATGTGGACTTTATCAAAGCAAAATACGAAAATGAAATTAATTGAATAAAGTAACTAGTAAAAACAAAAACAGAATGTACCTAGCAACTAGAATGGAGAGAAACGCTATTTTCATATTTTTAACTGAAAAATAACGTCAGTATTTGTCACGTGTGGAGAATATTGTCATTATATCTGTGTATTCAACAATTTTCTTTTGATTTTATGAATCTGTTGTGTATATTTGTTTGTAAGAGCAGTAATTTTGTTAAAGGTGAAATTGGGGAAAAAACCTGGGCGTAGATTAATATTTGGGTAATTTTCTATGGTGGCACTCTCCAGAATTTTCCTTCTGAGTGAGTTATTTTCTTTTTTTATGAGTGTAGCATTTTTAAAAACGCGTCAGTAATTACCAGTTTTCCTATTGTCATTTTTATATATATATATATATATATATATATAGACAGAGAGAGAAATAATTAGGATGATTTGAAATAATTATAATTAAGTAATTCATTGAGTTTAGAAGAAACCTCAACAGAATGCAGAAAGCACTGGACGGCTGTTTTGTCTTATATTTTGGACTCATCAACAGTGTGCATC